AAATGACCACAACCACTGCTTCTTCTTCAGCCGGCTGGAAGGCGGCGCAAGCAAGAAGCAGTGGCTGTGGTCATTTTCCCGCCCCGCACCGTCGTATCACGATGAGGTCCATCGCGCGCTGCGCGTGGCTGCAGGACAAGCGCCTTACGGCGAGACCGGCAGCCACCACGGAGCTCGAGAGGCAGCACATCAAAGCTCACGAGACCACAGACGCAGGGGCCCAGAGCATCACCATCTCGGACCCGGTGGACTTCGAGGCTGAACGGCAGCAGTCCCAGGCCGCCGCGCGGATCCAGCGCCGACGGCAAGCGGACGGAGCCCGGCCCCTGAGCGCGGCTGCGGCCCGTAAGGTCGCGCGCTCCGCGCAGAGGCGCGCCCTGCAGTGGACGCGACACCGACGTCGTCTCGTCCTGGCGGGCGTTCGCGTGGCGCCGCCGGGAGGCTTTCGGCAAGCACCCGGTCCGCAGCACGCTGACGAGGCAGGAGCTGCACGACGCCCCGAGGATGTCACCAGGGCCATCATCGGACACCGGGAGCCGATTTTCCAGGACACCGCTGTGGACGAGGCTGCCATCGACGTTTACCTTGAAGAGCACGTGCCTGCTCGACCAGCTCCTGACATCGGAGTGCCGACGCTCAATGACATGCACCATGTCCCTTCCAAAGGCAAAGATACCGCACCAGGGCCAGATCGGCTCACGTACTCGGCGTGGGCCGCACATGACAAACTCCTGGAATGCCTTTACGACCAGCCTTCTGAGCTCGTGGACAGGGAGGTCGGAGATTCCCCCGTCGACGAAAAGGGGAAACTGTTTGAGCGGCTGCGAAACCGAATGCTGCACCTCTTTTGCCGGACTACCTGCACCCCCTGGCTTGAATTATGGCGGCATGGCGATGTTGCCAAAGGGGGACGAGCCAGATGACCCCATTGAGATCGTACGGCGCCCGCACGCCCTGATGCCCCTCCTGTTGAAGAACAGCGACCACAAGATTTTGGGCGGCTACCGCCAACAACGAGCTCAAAAGAGCAGCGCAGCAGGAGGTGCACCAGATACAGCAGGGCTTCACTCCGCAGAGGCAGTTCGTCAACACGCATTGCGCGGCTGGACGCGAGAGCCAGGATAGCTTCGAATCAGGCGTCTGGCCTGACCGCCCGCCCTTGCTTCATCAGCTTCGATATTAAGGCGGCCTTCCCGTCGCTTGCGAGGCGATGGCTGTGGAGATTACTTCGCCGATTTCTCATCCCTGACGGCTTCCTCAACGCCGCCATGGCGCTCTACGAGAATGGGCTGGACTTCAGCCGAGTCGCCCACCTGCACGAGCCGATGTTCTGGGCAACGGGCGGCGTCGCCCAGGGATGCCCGTTATCTGGCACGTTATGGGCCCTGGCCATGGACCCGTCGCTGAGGCACCTCCACGCCGTCTTGGTGGACAGCGAAGATGTTGACGCAAGCGCGCGCGCGGACGACATTGGAGCTGTGTTGAGCCGTTTGGAGGCGCTAGTGAACCTGCGCCCGGGTTTTGCTGCCGTCGAGCGCCTGGCAGCACTCACGCTCCAGACCGCTAAGACAGGGGTGGTCCCGCTCTGGCGCGCGGTCGCTTTAGAGACGGGATTGGAGATCTCGGAAATCATACGGCGGCTGGTTCCAGACTGGTCAGGGTTTCAGGTCGCGGGGTGCGCTCGTTATCTTGGCGTTTTGTTAGGTCCGGGAGCCACAAACCTTGACCAATGGAACGTCACAGGACAGAAATGGTTAGAGCGTGCCTACATCATCTCCTCCACCCGTGCTCCGGCAGATGCCTCCCTCCGCTCCTACTCCACTCTCGCGTTGCCTGTCCTCTCCTACTTGGCCCAGTTTCAGGCCTCTCGACTCCGTGCTCGATCGCGAACGACTTCTGTTGCACCGTGTCCTCCGCCTCCCCCCGAATTCTTTCGAGGGCCGCACCCTTCACTCCATCGTGGCGTGGGTGCCCGGCGGGCGTCACCAGCCGCTGGCAGCTTGGAGCCAGGCTCACCTCTGGCGAGCTGACGGTTGCACTGTGCAGGACTCGGGCCCGTGGCTCGAGCAGCTCCGCTCCAGCGCGGGAGATGTTGTAGGCGTAGTGGCGATCCTCAGGGGAGATTGGTCCAATTCGCTCTGGAAGGAGCCCGCGGCGATAGTGCAAAAGTGGGCAGACGCTACAGGATGCGTGCCATGGTTCAAGCTGTCACGCTCTCGCCTGCGAGCTGCCAGCCAGTCCGCGACTCGCCGATGCAATGCTGCCGCTGCCGCGCGTGCTCGAGCAGCAGAGCACGGAAACAGAAACCGACCCAATTCGTCTCAAATGGGTCGGCTTTCCGACGGGCAAGAGACCCGTCGAGTCCGTCCTCGAGGCCTCTACCTCTCCTCGTTGATTACGTCCCTCTACCCCGACTCCATGCCCTCCCTCCTTCAGCGCAGGTTTGACAAGTGGTTAGGAGAGCTAGCAGCCCCGCGATCGGAGCTGCAGCGTTCGTAGCCATCACTTAAGCAGGTGCTGGTTGCCTCAAGGCCCGCCTGGATTTGGGACGCATTAAGACGAACGCATAGGGTCAAGGTCAAGTGCCCTAGGACATGCCTTTTTGGTTGTCCCCATTGCCCGGACTTTTTCCCACACTACCTCACTTGTCTTCGCCTCCTCGGGTTCATGCCCCTCGTTCGCTCTCCTCTCCCCTCCGATCCCATTGTCCGCATTGGGTTAGCGCTCCCTCAGTTGTATACAACCCAGTTAGCACGTGAATCTGCCCACGCGTACATAGTGATGTGCTTTCACTTTTATAACAAAGTCCGGCACAAGGCTTCCCCTCCTCAGACCAACTCCGCATACATTGATTTACTTCGAGCAGCTCAGGCTGCCATCAGCATGTAGATGAGATCGGCACCTGCTGCGCATCATGCTACTTGCGCTCCTCCTCCGCCTCCTCCTGTTGTTCCTCCTCATCCTCCTCCGCATCCGCCTCCTCCTCCTCCTCTTCTGTGGCCTCCTCCTCCTCCTCCGCCTTCTCCTCCTCCTTGGGTAACGGGGGGTGTCCTGCTCGCGTCGTCACGACATCGGGGCGGAAGCTTGTCGCTACTCTCGGCCCCTCTCGGGCGGGGGGTCATGTAGGGTATGGCATGCCCCCTCTACAGGCGTAGTTTGGAGGAACAAATGCAGACTAGTCGAAACACTTTCAAACATGATCAGAGAAAATAGAAACATCGTCCCCAGACGCGTTTCAAACTATGTTTGAATATTCCTCTTGTCGAGAGACGTGGTCGACTTAAGGGCCCAAAAGTGGCCTGACAGAGCCCCTATTAGGGCCCTCTTCTTCACCCCCCATGTGGGTCAGCCCCCATTACCACCCGCCCGACCCTCGCAGCCCTCGCAGGGCCCCAAGACGGTCACAAAAACTGCTCCTCCTCCTCCTCGTCCTCTCTGGCCTCCTCCTCCTCCTCCTCCTCCTCTTCCTCCTCCTTTCTGGCCTCCTCCTATCGGGCCACTCCCTCCTCCTCTCTCCTCTCTCCTCCTCCTCCTCTCCTCCTCTCTGGCGCCTCTCCTCCTCCTCCTCCTCCCTTCCTCTTACTCTTCCTCCTCTGCTATGGTTATCCTTCTTCCTCTCATCCTCCTCCTCTTCTTCTTCTCCTCCTCCCCTACTCCTCTCTGGCTCCTCCTCCTCCCTCCTTATGGCCTCCTCCTCCTCCTCCTCCTCCTCCTCCTCCTCCTCCTCCTCCTCCTCCTCCCCCCCCGCCCGAGAGGGACCGAACGTAGCGACAAGCTTCCGCCCGAGGTCGCTACGACGCGATAGCAGCACACCTCCAGGGTTACCCAGGACGGCCAGAGCAACCCCCGCAGAGAGCGCGAAGCACTTTGGCGCTGCGCTGGTGCCGAGAAAGGCAGGCCCACGTCTTAGTCGAATGCAGCTCGTGCTTCGTGGACGGGCGACGTCATCTCCCAGAAGTGCTCGCGTCGTAACAAAAAGTCAGGACGGGAGGCTTTTCGCTATTTTCGGCCTCGGGGGGCCCTCGCCAGGCTTCGGGAGCGTCAAAAAACGGCCCAGGATGAGAAACCGGCCCAGGGAAAGGGTCGGGACTTCTGGGGACGCCGCACTGAACAAACCAGGACGTCGCATGTTTGGGATCTGATGCCTCGCGGGCGCGCCCCTCAGCGTACCTCCTCCTCCTCCTCCTCCTCCTCCTCCTCCTCCTCCTCCTCCAAGGTTGCGGCGCGATCATGTCTGGGGAGGGTCTCCCGTGCGTGTGGTCTCCCCTCCCGCACGGCCCCAGGGGGGGGGGGGGCACCTCTGGGGTGGCCGCTGCACGCGGAGGGCGGCGGGGGGGGGGGGGGAGGGCACGTCCGGCGCGCTCTCCAGCCAGAGGCCCAGCCTCTGGCGCTCCCGCCGCGCTCGGCGGAAGCCGGCGGGGGGGGGGACGGGAGGGCCGCCAAGCTCTTGGCATCGCTCGGACTTGTGCAGTTCTCCTTCGGCGAGGGCCATCGAGGAGCATCCTTGACCATGTGGCGAAACAAAACCACGCACGAAGCCGAACAAAAACACAGGGAGTGGACGTCCGAGCGGTGGCAGGCTGGAGGGGGTGCCAAGGGCGCCCCTGGCCCAAGGTGCCCCCCCCCCAGCTGCTCGCGCCGTGTCGGAGCCCCTCTGGGCCCTTTGGGCCTCGCGGAGGGGTGCTCTGGAGGCCTCGGGGGCCTCCTGGGGGATCCTCGGGGCACCTGGGGTCAGGGGGCCAGACATCACCAGCCCGGAACCTATCCCTATCCCTAGGTTGGGCATCGCCTCACCACGATGGCGATCTCAGGGATTCGCTCAGTTTCTGAGGGTGCATCCCTGAGATTGTCATCGCCGTTGGGCGTGTCAATGAAAGGGGTAGGGATAAGTTCGAGGCTGGTTAAGAAAGCTCCCCAGGATGGCAGACCAGCCCTGGGAAAGGGTTTGGGTTTCCAGGGACCGCGTGCTGGAACAAAGAAACAACGCCTCTTGCATCCGGACACTTCGCAATGCCGTCGCCCGGCTTGCCAGAGCGCGCGTGCGGACTACCGCTGCTGCGCTGCGGCGTAAAAAGAAGTGCTGGACAAAAAAAAAGCGTCGGCTGTCTGGGGGAGGGGTGCCTCGAGCGAAACCTTTGTCAGCAGCACCGATTCGCACAGGTGGGCCGCGCGCAGAACGGGGGGGAGGGGGGGGGGAGGGAAGGTCTTTTAGGAGCACCCCTGCTTCTTCGACGGCGCGAGCCTTCTCTACAGATGCCGAGCCGGCGCCTCGTGAGAAGCAGCCTCCCTCTGAGAGGGGAGGGGGTCACAACCCTCGCAGGCGGGCAATTCCAGACCCCCCCAAGCAAGCCATGAAGGGCGGCTTTTTGCCCAGACCCCCCCGAACCCTCCAAGACAGCTCACATCCGACCCCATCCCAAATCAGACCACCCCCCTTTTATTGTGAAATCTGGAGAGTAGCCTCTTGCGCGCTTGGGTTTGGTCCCCCCGCGGCCCCCCGAAACGCCGCGCAGCGTCGCTCTTGCCCACGGCCGCTCTAGCGCGTGGCCGATCTGTTTCTGCCGTGCTTAAGCGGGATGAGCCGCGGCCGGGCCCTCCAGCTGCGAGGGCCTTGCGCCACGTGCGCCGACCGCCGCCCCCTGGCTCATCCGCCAGGGTGGTGGTGGTCGTCGTGGTCGTTGTTGTTGTTGTCGTCGTGGTCGTGGTCGTGGTCGTGGTCGTGGTCGTGGTCGTGGTCGTGGTCGTGGTCGTCGTCGTCGTCGTCGTCGTCGTCGTCGTCGTCGTCGTCGTCGTCGTCGTCGTCGTCGTCGTCGTCATCATTGTCGTCGTCGTGGTCGTCGTCGTCGTGGTCGTCGGCGTCGTGGTCGTCGGCGTCGTGGTCGTCGTCGTCGTGGTCGTCGTCGTGGTCGTCGTCGTCGTCGTCGCCGTCGTGGTCGTCGTCGCTGCCGTCGTCGATGTTCTCGTCGGCGTCGCCGCGACCTGGCGCCCCAGCTGCGAGGGCCCTGCGCCGCGTGCGCCGCCCGCCGCCGCCTCCTGGCGTCGCGGCGCGCTGGCGCTGGGCGGCGCGCTGGCAGCCGCGGCGCCCCGGGGCCAACGACGATGCCAGTGGCGACCGCGGCGACGTCGAGGGCGAAGTCGAGGACGAGGAGGCGGACGGCGACGCCAGACGCCGATGGCGCCCGCGGCGACAACCGCGTCGAGGACGAGGACGAGGATGGACGGCGACGCCAACGACGACGCCGATGGCGACCGCGACGGCGGCGACAACGTCGACGACGGCGGCGACGGCCGTGACGACGACGACGACGACGACGACGACGACGACGACGACGACGACGACGACGACGACCACGGCGGCGACGACGACCACGACGACGACGACGACGACGACCACGACGTCGACGTCGACGTCGACGTCGACGACGACGACGACGACGACGACGACGACGACGACGACGACGACGACGACGACGACGACGACGACGACGACGACGACGACGACGACGACGGTCGGAGACATCGCCGTGGGCGGGTCTGGCCCGTCCTCCGCGGCAGACGGCGCGCTGCGGGCGCTGCGCCTGCGTCGCCCAGCGCACCTCCTCCGCCCAGGGCGCCCTGCCTCGCAGGCTGCCCTGGCTCCCCACCTCGCCTCAACGTCCTCCGGCCGCCCTGCCTTGCACGGCAGCCTGGGGCCTGGCGCACCCTCCGCACCTCGGCCGAGGCGGCCGCGGCCTCACGCGCCCCTCGGCGCGCGGGCCCGAGCACGCCCTCGTCGCCGCCACTCCTGCGCGGCCCTCGGCCTCCTCTCTGGCCGCCTCCGCCTCTGCCTCCCGCGCGCGCCTCTCGAGCGCGCGGCGGCGGTCCTCTTCCACCCCGCAATTCGGCCCTTTGGTTGTGTGGGGTATCTGGGTTTTTTTGTGTTTGTCTTTTTTTTTATCTTTTTTTTTTTTTTTTTTTTTTTTTTTTTTTTTTTGTGTTTTTTATTTTTTTTGTTTGTTTTTTTATTTTATTTTTTTTTATTTTCGCTGACTCCCGCGGCCGCTTCGGCGGCACGATTGCTGCCATTTACGCCTTCTCTCCTTGTCTGTGGCGTCGCCGCTGGGCGCGCCTGCCCCTTGTTTGGCCTCTCCTCCTCTCTCCGCTCCTCGTCCTCCTGCTCCTCCTACTACTCCTGCTCCTCCTCCTCCTCCTCCTCCTCCTCCTCCTCCTCCTCCTCCTCCTCCTCCTCCTCCTCCTCCTCCTCCTCCTCCTCTTGCCTCTCCAACAGGCCTCCTGCGACCCCCCCGAGCTCCTGCCGCAGGTCCCCGCAGACCCCGCAGAGGCGGTCGCGCCTGCCGGCCCTCCTGGACGGCAGCAGGCGGAGCCCCTCCCTCTACCTCCTCAGCTGCTCCCTGCAGCGCCTGCGCTCTCCTCGGCAGTCCTGGAGCAGGAGCTCTCCGCGCCTCCGCTCGACCCGCAGGCGGCCTTCGGGCTCCGGCCTCGCGCCGCGCAATCCCGCAGGCCAGGCCCCGCTCGCCTCGGGCGTGTTCGCCCAAGAGGTGGCCCCTCCAGCGGATGGTGGGCCTCAACTTCACTCTGGCTCCTCGCCCGCAGCCTGCTGGCGGGGAGGGGGTTGTTGTTTTTGTTTTGGGTGTTTGGAAGGTGCGGAGTTTTTTTGTTTTGTTGGTTTTTTTTCGGGTAGTCGTGTTGATTTTTTTATTTCTATTTTTTTGTATTTTATTTTGTTTTTCTTTTTTTTTTGTTCTTTTTTATTTTTGTTATTCTTCTTGCTTGCCCTGCTGCGGGCTGGCCTCAGCCTCTCCTCCCCCGCCCCCTTCACCCCTCCTCCTCCTCCTCCTCCTCCTCCTCCTCCTCCTCCTCCTCCTCCTCCTCCTCCTCCTCCTCCTCCTCCTCCTCCTTGGCCTCGTCGATGGCCTCCTGCAGGTCCGACGCTCGATCCTGGTCTCGCTCGGGGTCCCGTCCGCATCTGGCACCTGCGACTGCCACCACACCGCCGACTGGCCGATCCATCTCGCCGCCTGCTTCGCCAGGGAGTGCGCAGCCGCCAGCCCTCGCTTGGGCCAGTGGCCCCAGGCTCCCGCCCCCTCCCTGGCGTCGTGGTCCGGTTCCTCGTGGCCTTCCCGCTTCCACCTCTCGGTCTCTGTCACGCACTCGGACGTCGACCTGTGCGCCCTGACCTTCGTTGCCAGCGCCTCGTCCTGGCCTCCGAGCTCGCTCCGCCACCGCCTCCATATAGGAGCCTCCTCGCTGCTCCCTTCGCAGGGCGCCCTGCCTAGGTAGGTGCGTCGCTTGTCGGCTGGAGCCCGCACGGTCGCGGAAGACCTCCAGCGGCGCCCGGGAACAGCCCGAGAGGATGATGGGCCAATTTTCCACAACCGCTACATCCACATGTAGGACGGGGGAGAAGGGAGGACGAGGAGGCCCTCCTCCTCCTCCTCCTCCTCCTCCTCCTCCTCCTCCTCCTCCTCCTCCTCCTCTCTGGCCTCCTCCTCCTCCTCCTCCTCCTCCTCCTCCTCCTCCTCCTCCTCCTCCTCCTCCTCCCTCTCCTACATGTGGCAGTGGTGGTGGAGAATGGGCCCATCAGAGGAAGTTGAACGCGTAGTCCTCGCCGTACCTCGCCCGATGCAGCGGGCCCCACGCCAGTGGAGAGCGCGCCGCCCGCCGCTCCGAGCACCAGGCCCCCCTCGCCGCTGCACCGCGCGAGGGCCCAGCCCGCCCTTCTGGGGATCTCCGCGGGGTCGGCGGCGGACCCGTCTGCGAAGACCCTGCCCTGGAAGTGCCCGTCCCAGACATGCTCGCGTCGTTCAAAAGATCAGGACGGGCGGTGTTTCGCTAGTTTCGGCCCCGGGGAGCCCTCGCCGGGCCCCGGGGCCGTCCAAACACGACTCAGGATGGAAAGCCGGCCCCGGGGAAAGGGTCTGGATTTCCGGGGACGCCGCACTGAAAACATCAGGAAGTGGCATGTCTGGGTGCCCGTTCGGCGGCCGCTTGGCCCAGTTCACCTCCTCCAGGTCGGGCCTCTCGCGAGAGGTGCCAGCCAGGCCTGCAGGGCCTCTGGGGAGAGGCCCCTTGGCGAACCTCTCGCCGGCCTCCTCCCCCTGCTCGAGCGCCCTCCTCGCCGCCTGCGGCACCGGTTCGGGGCACACGTCACTCCCGTGGGTCATCGCCGCGTCGCAGCCGACGTGGCGGTGCCACAGCGTGTGTGCCCCTCTGCCGCCGGCACCTCCTACACAGTCGCTCTTGGTGGCCAGGTCTCGGTCGATGCGCACCGCAGCGCCCTCTTGTGCTGGACGCCCCACGTCTCGGACCGGGCCGCTGCCATGAGCTCCTCCCTGTGCCTCCAGCGGACTGGGCCTCCCCACGCGGAGCGTTTGCCCAGGCTCGGCAGCGCACGGGCCTGGGCCCAACCGCCTCATGTCGAGCACCTCCCCCGTCGGCATTTGGAGCTCGAGCGCCGACAGCACCGTGATCCCTGCCCTGGCCAGCGCGAGTCGCATCGCGTCCGGAGGGCGGACGACGACGACGACGACGACGACGACGACGACGACGACGACGACGACGACGACGACGACGACGACGACGACGGCAGCGGCGGCAGCGGCGGGGGCGGCGGCGGCGGGGGCGGCAGCGGCGGCGGCGGCGGCCGCGGCGTCGGCGGTCCGGGCGCGAACGGCGCGAACGGCCGCGGCCGCCGCCCGGGCTCTCGGCGGAGTCTTGGCATCGCTCGGACGTGTGTTCTTTTTTCCTTCGGCGAGGGCCATCGAGGAGCATCCTTGATCCTTTGGCGAAAAAACCAAGAGATCCAACGCATTGAAAAATCAAGACAGAGGTTTTTCGCATGTTTCGGCCTCGAGGGGCCCTCGCTGGGCCCCGGGACCGTCAAAAAACGACTCAGGATGAGAAACCGGTCCCGGGGAATGGGTCGAGACTTCTGGGGACCCCGTATTGAAAAAATCACGACGTCGGATCTCTGGGAACCACGCACGAAACCGAAAAAAGCACAGGGAATGGACGTCCGAGCGATGGCCAGGAGTGCGGGCGGCCGCCGCCGCCGTCGCCGGAGGGCCCGCGGCTGCGCGGCAGGGGCGCAGCAGGCAGCAGCGGCAGCAGCACGTCGGCGGAGCGGCGCCTGTTTGAGGACGGCAGCGCCGGCCGCCGCAGAGCGCGTCCGCAGAGCCGGCGGGCCGCCGTGGGCACTGGGCTGCAGTCGGGCGTGTCCCTCTCCAGGGGGAATGTCCCCAAATAGTTTTTTTTTGTATCTTAAAAAAGAGGCTGGGGGCGATGTTGGAAACGATGTTTTGGGCATTGGGGGGGGTAGATGTGGAGCATCTGTTATTTGTCGCCCAGAATCCCCCTGTAGGGGGACACGCCCGACTTACCGCTAGGCTCGCTTGAGTGGGTCGGACGGGGCTAGGACGATGAGGATCATGCCGTCCCGGAGCGTGCCGGAACGCTCTCAGAGCGTTCTGGAACGCTCTGAGAAGGCCGCGGCGCCCGAGACATCCCCCAGAGCTGCCGGATCTCAGAGATTCTCGATTCATCATGACCTGATGTTAATCTCGTCCTGGCTTCGTCTGAGTGGGTGGAGAAGACGAGGGCGGCCGCGGAGGCGGAAATCGTCAGGGCGGCAGCAGGCGGCAGGCATCAGGCGGAGCAGCCGCGGTGGCACGGGTGCAGCAGCAAGAGGGCGCGATTGGCGCCGCGGCGTGGAGCGGCAGGGCCGCCGGGCCAGCCGTGAGCACGTCACGCGGGGCAGGCCGCAGAGTGCGAGCTCGCGCCAGCCGCGCAGCGGTGAGGAGGAGGAGGAGGGGGAGGAGGAGGAGGAGGAGGAGGAGGAGGAGGAGGAGGAGGAGGAGGAGGAGGAGGAGGAGGAGGAGGAGGAGGAGGAAGAGGAGAGTGAGGAGGAGGAGGGAAGGAGGAGAGGAGGAGGAGGAGGAGGAGGAGGAGTGCCATCGAGGCCTGCTCTTGCAGTGGGAGGGTCAACGAGTCAGCAGCATCGCGTCTCAGGGGGTCGCGAGCGGTGCCCCCAGCGAACTGCACGGGCGGCTTGCCCATGGAGGTCCGTCCCAGTCCTTTGGTCGGCATGGGTCCCGGCTCCCGCCCAGCATCTGGATCCTGCAAGATCTAGGCTGCACGCATGGCTTCCTGGATGTCCGCGCAGCTTCTTGGCTATCTGGGCCATCCTCCCGGCCTCCTGGCGACTGCTAATGGGGAGAGTAGAGTGGAGTAGAGTAGAGTAGCGTGAAGTAGAGTACACCAAGTTACAGCATCATAGAGTACAACAGAGTAGTGCTTAGCACAGTACAGTGCAGTACAGTAGAGCAGTGTAGAAGCACCCCCGCGTCCTCCTGCTCTGAGGCCTCCTCTTAATCCCGCTGCGCACCAAGCATACGTAAATCATCTACCAGTGATCCGGCGATGCGCCGACCGAAAACTGTCAATCGTTGACCTCGCTGTCGCCAGCTACCTTCCTGCGAAAATGCTCATGTTTGGACAAAAACTAGACAGGCCATCGCAAAAGTAAAAGTAGCGCGCAGCCAGTGGGGGAGGAAGACAAGAGTTGAAAGAGGGAGAATAAGTGGAGGAGAAGGAAGAGGAGGAGAAGGAGGAGGCGCCTGGATGATCTTTGAACTGCCTGCCGTTAATTACGTCGTCTACCAGAGGGCCCTTTACCCATGAAGCCTTCTGCCGGGAAGCCACGCAGTGCGTCCGCCAGCTTCCGCCGTATCGGTTCATAGCGGCGCGGGCTTTTTATCCCGCTTGTCATGCCACGCAAAATCATACCCGCTGCAAGGCCCAAGGCAGAATTACGTATGTTCGTCCAGGCCAAAGCGTCCTCGCTAATCGAAACCAGCGGCGACGATATAGGAGGTGTCTCGCGGGAGAACGCTCGCTCCACAGATGCGTAATGCTCGTTTCAACGAGCAGGGCAGGCAGTGCATCAGCGAGACCAAGCACTGTTTCCGGCCAGGGCGTTTTTGTTCATCCTTTGTTGACCTCCTGGGGGTTTCTCTTCGCCACGGCTGGACGCGGCTCAGACACCCATTTCGTTCGGCCCCGCGAAGGGTCTGGGGCTTGATTTTGATGGGATGTTGCCGATTGTGCACGTCTTCTCGGGGCACATCCGCAGCAGACCCCCGGGCCGCCTCAAGGTCCACGCCACCCTCCTCCCTTGCCTCTCCTATGGGGCCAGGGCTGGCTGAAGCATCTTGAGACGTGGGACCGAAGGTGATTCAGCTCAGCACTCGAAACTGGAACTTGGTTGTTCCATGCGGCGGGTCTGGCTGACCTCGGGCCTCTTTGCCAGTCGAGGCGAGCGCCTCCCCTAAGCCGCCTACGCTGTAAGATCCTCGAGCTGTGCGGCGATAGCAACCGCGTGCAGCAACGGGGAGCGTCGAGGAGAAACGACGGACGCAATGTGTGCTTAGCAGCACCCTCGGCTCACGACCAGTAATCATTCGCAAACAGCATCGCGTGCGTCTGTGTCGGTTCGGGCCATCCGCGGCTTTACTCGCATTCCGTGTGCCAGGTGTTCGCAAACATTCCACCCCCTCCGAGCATGAAGCGCCGAGTATGGAGGTGGTGGGTACGACATGACAGCAATGACGAAGACGAATAGGTCAGTGCCGAAGCGAGAGTCACATGGTTTGAGAGGAGTTTAGCTAGAGCCAAGGGGGTTGGAGGAGGAGTAGGAGTAGGAGTAGGAGTAGGAGTAGGAGTAGGAGTCAAGCTGGCCAGCTCGAGCGAGTCAAGCATGGCATGCCCAGTCCCACCCGCCCTCCCACAACATAAGAAGCAAAGCTGGCACAACTGGGGGCCGAAGTCACACCGGCCAGCCGGTTTGGTACAGCTGATGCGGCCGCGATGGCGGTTGCCGACGGGAACTGGCGAGCGCGTGTTGAATGCCGCGCACGCATTGCCAGACGAGTCGAGAATGGCCCGGTACACCGCAGGAAGCCTGAAGGCCCCAACTTGTACTGTTTTTTTATAAAGGGGGGGTTTGGATGGGCGGGCGCGGGGTGTGCGCCGCATCCCATTCCTGCCAAGCATTTTGCGACGTGGACGACAGGACGTCCATGCTGAGAGGAAAAACGTTGGTGCGCGGCGCCGAGGCGAGAGCGACATGTCACCCCTTCGCGCGGGGTGTGCACCGCGTCCCATTCCTGCCACGCATTTTGCGACGTGACGACAGCACGACCATGTTGACAAGAAAAACAAAAACTGTGTATTGTCTTTTGCAGATTAGAATGGGACGGATTGGATGGGCGGGCGCGGGGTGTGCGCCGCGTCCCATTCCTGCCATGCATTTTGCGACGTGGACGACAGGACGTCCATGCGACGGTGCCAATGACGGCGACGACTCTAGAAGGATTTGAGCATGCGCTCGCGGCGACGCGCGCGCATGTCGCCCGCGTGGTATTTTTTGCACAGGATTCGCGGCCTGGGTGCATGACAGAGCATCGCGAGTGCACCGCGCGATGACGTGAAATCGCTGGATTTGACCGAATTCTTAAGATTCCCATGGTTTTCCTATGATTTCAGCAAGAGAGCCCGGGCAGGAAAATTGTAGAATTTTTGTGAAAAAACATTGGGTTTTTGATGTTTTTATGTTGAAATGCTTGCAAACACACGGTGTTCGGTAGGATTCTGACATGAACGCGCGCGTGTGCTCTTTGTGGTATTTTTTGCAATGGATTATCGCCGTGGACGACAGGACGTCCATGTCGAGAGGAAAAAATAAGAAACATGTTGATTTTGTATTGTTTTTTACAGGTTAGGATGGGACCACCCGGATGCGGCCCCTATCGGCCGGCCTGAGGGGGGAGTAGGAGTATATTCTAATAAGGAATTAGGATAGGAGTAGGAGTAGGAGGAGGAGGAGGAGGAGGAGGAGGAGGAGGAGGAGGAGGAGGAGAGGAGGGGAGGAGGAGGAGACGGAGGAGGAGGAGGAGGGGGGGAGGGAGTGAAAGGGAGGGGGAGGAGGAGGCAGGAGCATGGTGTAGGAGGAGGAGGGGGAGGAGGGAGGAGGAGTCCTCGGCGCTGGCGGCGGCGACCAGCAGCGCCCGCATCGGGCAGCCCGCAGGCGCTTCTGAGGGCGCGGCGGCAGCCGGCGCAGGTGGACATCCAGGTGGCCGTGGTGGCGCCGGCCTCAGCCGCTCTGTCGCCGTCGCCGTCGTGATGTTCGACGTCTTCGTGCTGCGTCGGAGCCGTCGTCGTCGTCGTCGTCGTCGTCGTCGTCGTCGTCGTCGGAGTAGGGAGGGTGGAATGAGGGAGAAGGGGCGAGGGAGCAGGAGGAGGGGGAGGAGGGGGAGGACGAGGAGGAGGGGGAGGAGGAGGAGGAGGAGGAGGCGGAGGAGGAGGAGGAGGAGGAGGAGGAGGAGGAGGAGGAAAAGGAGGAGGAAAAGGAAGAGTGTGGAGGGGGAAGGGAGGGGGAGGAATCAGGGAGCGCTGAGGGGGAATGAGGAATGAGAAGGGGATAGAAGAAGGCGGTGATGTGAGAAATGAGGGGGTTGGGGAGGGAAGTTGCAGAAGTGCTGAGCAGGGAAGAAGGATGAAAAGGAACACGAGTAGGGGAAGGGAGGCGGTGTAGGAACAGGAACAGGATGGGGATAAAAGAGGAGGATGAGTGAGGGTTCGGGAGGGAGTAGGGATGGACGAGCAAGAAAGAAGGATTGGATCGTATTCGATTGGCGTGATACCATTGAGCTGACGGTGGACAGATTGGACACCGCTTCCTTTAAGCAAGGAGCCACGACCCAAAGAGGGTTCGGAAGCGACCTTGCTGCGACGGTTCTGGAAGACTGTCCGCCAGCGCTGGAAGGGAGGAGGGGAGGGAGGCGAAGGCAGTGCTCTTCTTGGGGGGCCGTGCGAATTCTCGGGGCAACGCTGGACCACCCTCCCATGCGCGCGACACGAGCAGAAGCGGCGGCCAGAGGCGCTGCCAGGCGGGTCCAGCGCTGTTCCAGCAAATAGGTACGGGCAGCCAGAGGCACCAACCCGAGCGATCACCTCCGCCCCAAGCCCCAGCCAGAGCGAAGCAGGAGAGGCTATCCAGAGACTCTCCGCAGAGGGGGGGATGCAAGGAAAGGGGCGCCTGCCTGGGAGAGGGAGGAGGAGGAGGAGGAGGAGGAGGCGGAGGAGGAGGAAGAGGAGGAGGAGGAGGAGGAGGAGGAGGAGGAGGAGCGGAGGAGGGCGGAGGAGGGCGGAGGAGGAGGAGAGGAGGAGGAGGAGGAGGAGGAGGAGGAGGAGGAGGAGGAGGAGGGAGGGAGGAGGAAGAGGAAGGAGGAGGAGGAGGGCGGAGGAGGAGGGAGGAGGAGGAGGAGGCGGAGGAGGGAGGAGGAGGAGGAGGAGGAGGAGCAGGAGGAGGAGGAGGAGGAGGAGCAGCAGCAGGGTGAGGGGAGCATCATCCTCCCCTCTGCCCGGCCCGCCCGCCCTGCGAGCCGGGCAGAGGGGAGGGAATGCGGGCTCTGGGGAGAGGTAGTAGCCGCCCAGAAGCAACCCGCCTCCTGTTCGACATGGAGCGCCAGCAGCGCCGCCTCCGCGTACCCGGCCTGCGGATAGGACCGCCTCGGCCGCCGCCTCCACGGAGCAGGGGGCTCGTAGCCTGCTCAGCCAGCGCTGGCCTCGCAGGACTCCGAAGGGCAGCCCCCGCTCGAGATCCTGGGCGAGGTCAGGCCGAGGGACGGGCCTCGGGCCGAGGACCGGGAGCGGCCTCGACTGAAGGCAGACTCGTCACCGCAGCTCCGCCTCGCAGCGCTCCTTCCAAGTGCGCTTGCACGTGCACCCCGTGCTGGTGCACGGGCTGTCCGCCGCGAGCCGCCTCCCCGGCCGGCCAGGCGGAAATGGACCAGGCATCCAGCAGAGCGAGTGAGCGCTGTGCCCAGGAACGCCCCCCGGACCCATGGGCTCGCGCCAAAATCATCCTGTGGAGGTCCCCCTCTGGAAGCCGCCAGCGGCCGGCGCGCCGGGAGGCAGCCTCGCACACGGCCCTGTCCGGGACCAGTGAGCGGCCGACCCAGTTTCGACGGGCCAAGGGCCGGCTGTCGCCAGGGCGGGGCGCCGCCTTTGAGACTCGCACGCCCAAGTTCCATAGCTCTGCTCCAACTCGCCTGGCGCCCCTTCTGTCACTGCCCACGGCCATTGTCCGAAGCGCCAGCGCCTCCTCTGCCTGGGATTCGAACATGCTGGCAGCCACGGCAAGCGGGATAAGCCTGGCAGAGGCATGCCACACCAAGGGCGCACACTGCGCGGAAGCTGCGCCCAGCCGTGCGTCCATGACCTTTTCGAGGTCGAGGTTCCCCCGACCGCACCAGCCCCAGCCGCTTGTGTGCACCTGTGAGGCTCACTCGGACTGGACTCCCGCCCTTTGGCGGCAGGGTGGGGGGGCCCAGCGGCCACCCCGGCCCCCACGGCCTCCAGAGGCCCGTGGACGACGACAGCGTGCTCTTTGGACGGCCTGGTGTGCGGGGAGGCCCTGTGGCACGCGAGAGCCCACTCTGCGAGAGGCGTCTCGTGCCAGCTGCGCCCCCCCCCCCCGCGCGTGGAGCACGGCAGGGCGGGGATCCTCCGCGCGCAGGGCGGCCGCCGGGCGCAGCGACGCAGAGGCGTCCAGCGCGGCCAACGCCGAGGCTTCGAGCTCCAGGTCGCCAGCGAGCGCGGCAGCCGGGGGGGGCAGCGAAGCGCCCTCGCGCGACTGCCGGGGCGGGTGCTGCCGCGAGGCTGGAGGCGGGCGTGCCGGTGCCCTGCCAGCGGCGCCCTGAGGAGGAGGAGGAGGAGGAGGAGGAGGAGGAGGAGGAGGAGGAGGGGGAGCAGGAATGAGGAGGAGGAGGAGGACGAGGACGAGGAGGAGGAGGAGGAGGAGGAGAGGAGGGAGAGAGGAGGAGGAGGAGGAAGGAGGAGGAGGAGGAGGAGGAGGAGTGGGAGGAAGAGGAACAGCAGCGGGAAGTAGGCAGATGAGGAGGAAGAAGACAACGCACCGAGCTCCATGAGTTCGATCCTATCCGATCCGAGCCTCTGCTCCTCCTCGCTAGCTCATCCTCCGCATCTTCTTCCTCCTCCTCCTCCTCCTCCTCCTCCTCCGCCTCCATCTTTCGCAAAGGCGTATCGTTGCGGCGTGTTGCTGCCTGAGTCGGCGCAGTCACTCACCTCTCACGTGTGCATCCTCATCGTCATCATCATCATCATCATCATCATCATCATCATCATCATCATCATCAGCATCATCATCATCATCATCATCATCACCACCACCACCACCACCACCACCATCATCGCCGTCGTCATCGCCACCATCATCTCATCACCGCCACCACCACCACCTTCATCATCATCAGCATCATCATCGTCATCACCACCGTCATCATCATTATTATTATCGTCATCATCGGCGGCGTCGTCGTTGTCGTCGTCACCGTCACCATCATCGTCACCATCATCATCATAATCATCATCATCGTCATCGTCATTGACTGCATCATCCTCATTATCATCATCAGCATCATCATCACCATCAGCATCATCATCGCCATTATCATCATCATCATCATCATCATCATCATCATCATCATCATCATCATCATCATCATCATCATCATCATCATCATCCGAATGATCAGCACCACCATCATCATCATCATCATCACCACCGCCTTTACCAATTCCACTACCATCACCATTGCCATCACCATCACCATCACCTTGCATCCTCCATCGTCGTCGTCGTCGTCCTCCTCCTCCTCCTCCTCTTCCTTCTCCCCCTCCTCCTCCTCCTCCTCCTCCTCCTCCTCCTCCTCCTCCTCTCCTCTCCTCCTCCCTCCTCCCTCCTCCTCCTCCTCTCCTCCTCTCCTCCTCTCCTCCTCCTCTCCCTCCTCCTCCTCCTCCTCCTCCTCCTCTTCCCCGAGCGGGCTCCCGCCCGACGGAGCGGGGTAGTCCCCCCGCCCCCCCCCGCCGGCGGAGCCGAGGGGCTGGCGGCGGAGTCGCCAGAGGACTGCGACGTGCGCAAGGCCCCCGCGGTGGGGCGGCGGCGAGGGAGGAGGAGGAGAAGGAGGAGTAGGACGAGGAGAAGGAGAGGAACGACGAGGAGAAGGAGGAGGAGGAGAAGGAGGAGGAGGAGGAGGAGGAGGAGGAGGAGGAGGAGGAGGAGGAGGCGGGGAGGAGGATGAGGAGGAGGAGGCGGAGGAGGGTGGAGGAGGAGGAGGAGGAGGAGGAGGAGTGGGGAGCGGGAGGAGGACCGTGAGAAGGATGATAAGGAGAAGAAGGAGGTTGAGGAGGAGGAGGGGGAGGGAGGGAGGGAGGGAGAGGAGAGGGACCAGTGCAAATAGACGTATCAACGATGTTGGAATAATCCTTCCCTCTGAGCTTTCCCTTCACAGACCCCCACAAGCTTTCATTTCCACTGCGGGAAGTGCCCCGTTGGGAGACAGCCGTTTTAGGACCATGTAGTGTGCCAAAACACCGGTCTCGGGACTCCAACGCCACGAATCAATTTGACTGTTGCGCCTTGGCGGTCCCGAATCGTGCAAGAACGCCGTTCTTGGGATTTCAACACCGCGAGTCAACGGAAGTGTCGCGCCTTGACAATCCTGAATCGTTCCAAAACGCTGTTCCTGGTATGTTAGCCGTGCGAATCCGTGAGCCTCGTGCAATTTGTTGCAGGGAGTGTGCGCGGCTCCAAGGCGAGAGCCACATTTTGAAAAGGAGCCGTCGTCAATCCGTCGAGCTCTTGCAATTTCTCCCCACCCGCCAGGTTTGGGCCGCCAGGTTTTAGAAACAGACTTCCCGACCCGTCCACCCTGCATACTGATGCCGCCAGATCCCCCCAGGTCCCGAGAGGGAGGAGGAGGAGGAGGAGGAGGAGGAGGAGGAGGAGGAGGGGAGAGGAAGGAAGGACAAGGCGGAGGAGGAGGGAGGAGGAGGAGGAGGAGGAGGAGGAGGAGGAGGGGGGAAGGAGGAGGGAGGAGGGAGGAGGGAGGAGGGAGGAGGTGAGGAGGGTGGAGGAGGGAGGGAGGAGGGTGGAGGAGGAGAAGGAGCCTCGTAAGGAGGAAGTTGAGGGAGGAGAGGAAGGAGGAAGGAGGAAGGAGAGGGTGGGGGAGGAGGAGGGAGGTTAGGGGAAGGAGGAAGGATGAAGGAGGGAGAGGAGGAGGGAGGAAGAGGAGGGAGAAGGAGGAGGAGGAGGAGGAGGAGGAGGGAGTGGAAGGAGGAAGGAGGAGGAAGGAAGGGAGGAAGGAGGAGGTAGGAGACTGTAGGAGGAGGAGGAGGTAGGAGAAGGAGGGGGCGAGGCTGGGCAAGGCAGAGGCCGAGGGCGAGGGGCGCCGAAGGGGTGGGGCGGGACTGACGAGGGTGCAGGTCCGAGGGCGAGGAGGCGATGGGGGGGGTGGGGGGGCAGGCGGACGCGATGGCGGTCGGGGGGTGAGGTGCTCGGGCGAGGCTCGACGGCGAGGCGGGACGATCCTCGAGTCTCGATTCCTCGGGTCTCGATCTCGAGTCCTCGCACCTCGGCGGGCCGCCCCCCCCTCCTGTCCCCTCCCCTTTCCTCGTCCCCGATGCTCCTCCTGAGCTGCCCCCGCGCCGCGTCGGCCGAGGCCGTCCTGGGCGCGTCCCCGTCTTCGGCCTCGCTCCACTCGCCATCTCTCCCCTCCCCTCCCCCCAATCTCTCTCGTGTCCCTCCCCTCTCCCCTTCCATCCCGATCTCCTCCCCCCGTCCCTCCCTGCACAGCTTCCCAGCACGAACACTGCTCTCCTCACTCTCCCCGGAGGTGGCCTGGGAGTGATGCGTCCCCCCTCCGCGCATGGTCTTTTACACAGGAGGGCTCCGAGTTGGTTTGTCTTCTGTGTTGTTGTTCAGGCCCTTCCCAGATGGCGCCCCCGCTGCAGCGCTGGCCTCATTTGAGCGTTGCCAGTCCTTCGGAATGGTGCTCCCACTGCAGCGTTGGCCTCGTTTTCAGATCGGCGGCTTGCTCCGGCAGTTCCGAGTGGCGCTCTCCGCCTCCTCGCGGGCCACGTCTCTGGATCCGAGTCCTTCCTCATCGTTGTCACTCCCCTCCTTCCCCCTCCTCCTGTCCTCCCGCTCCTTCCACTCCAGTTCCCGCTGCTGCTGTTCGCCCTCGTCCTCCTCCCTCCTCATCCTCCCTTCCTCCTGCTCAGCTTCCTGCGCCTCTGCCACCTCCTCCTCGTCCTCCCCCTCCTCCCGTGTACGCAGCTTCTCCTTTGCCGATTGCAGGTGGTACGTTCGGTGTTTCTCCGGAGTGCCAGCTGCTGTGAAGCGCGTCCGCGGTACAGAGGCACAAGCAGCGCAGTGGGAGGAGGCGGGCGGGAGGGGTCGAGTGTCTGAGGTGGTAGGAGGCGCGCCTCGCTTGCCTCCCTCCCCTCTCTCCCGCCCCCTCCCATCCCGTCTCCCTCTGAGGCCCTTCGGGGCTGCTGCTTCATAATGGCCTTCGGGGCTGCAATTCCGGAGGCAGCCCTTGTCGCCCAGGACAGGCCTGGGGCCTGGTGCTGCTTCCTCTCGTCGGCCCTTCTGCAGTGCTCGCAGTAGGGCCGAGCAGACCACTCGAGTCCCACTCGAGTCCCCTCCCCTGTGCAGTCCCCGCTCGAGTCCCCTCCCCTCCCCTCCCACTCGAGCCCCCACTCGACTCCCCGCTCGAATCCCCGCTCGAAATCCCCCCTCGCTCCCCCCGCCCCCACCTGCGCTCCCCTCCCCCCCCTGCCTCCTCTCCCCGCCCCCTGCGCGGGCCCGGGCCCGGGCCCAGGTCGGCAGGCAGCGCCACCACGTCTGCCACCACCGGGGCTGCGACAACTGGCAGAACCTGACGCTGACGCCCAACGCCACCGCTGCCGCCGACCTGGAGAGGACCGCCCTTTGGACGAGACCGCGCCGTCCGGGGGGGCGCTCCCCACGGGCGGCAGGGGTGCCGCTGCCGCTCCCCCGTGCCTCGCCGCCACGGCGGGGTTCACCCCGAAGCCCTGGTGAGAGCACACCCCAGGAGAGGCCCGTGGAACAGCGGCAGCGGCACCTCCTCTGTCCCCCGACGACCACGGCGATGACGATGCTGATGATGATGCTGATGATGATGCTGATGATGATGATGATGATGATGATGATGATGATGATGATGATGATGATGATGATGATGATGATCTGGATGATGATGATGATGATGATGATGATGATGATGATGATGATCTGGATGATGATGATGATGATGATGATGATGATGATGATGATGATGATGATGATGAGGCTGATGATGATGCTGATGTTGATGATGATGATGATGATGGTGATGGAGGTGGTGGTGGTGGTTCTGATGATGATGCTGATGCTGCTGACGATGATGATACTAATATGCATCATGATGACGACGATGTCGACGACGATGAGTATGATGATGCTGATGCTGATGATGATGCTGATGATGATGTTTTTGATGATGATGATGATGATGATGATGATGATGATGATGATGGTGATGATGATGATGATGATGATGATGATGATGATGATGATGATGATGCTGATGATGATGATGATGATGACGCTGGCGTTGACGCTGGCGATGACGCTGATGATGACGATGACGATGACGTCATACTCATCACCGCCACCGTCATCGTCATCGCCGTCGTCGTCGTCGTCATCATCGTCATCGTCGTCGTCATCGTCATCGCCATCGTTATATTGCCCCCCACTTTGGGGCGCCCGCGGGGCACCCGGCTCGCCGTCGTCGTCGTCGTCATCGTCGTCGACGTCGACGTCGTCGTCGTCGTCGTCGTCGTCGTCGTCGTCGCCACCTGCTTGCCTCCCCTGCGCCCTGGGTTTCCAGGGTGTCGATGGCCTTGCCACGTGGAGAGCGCCACGTGCCCGCGCCGAGCATCCGTGGGCGCCCCGCGTGGTCTCGCGGGCGGGGCTCCCCGCGGCGGGCGCCCCGTGGTCGGGCCCCGGCTGCACGACGCCGTGGGGCCCGAGGGGCCGCGCCCGCTCCGAGGTGGAGCGAGCGGCGCGGCGTGAGGGACCTGCGCGCGCGCCGACGCCGCCCCGAACCGACCTGCCTGCAGTGCCGTTTTGAATACAGGCTCCGCGCGCGGATCCTGTGTTAGAGATGCAGGGATTTAGGATTAAAAACAACGATGAGTTCATGCATAAATTCATTCCTACATTTAAACCATATATTTTAAACCCTATATTTTAAAACAGTACAAATATTTTCAAAACCCATATATTTAAGCCCTAGATTCATGCACAATTTATTCAATCATACGATGTACTAAAAAACACTTCGTTTTTTGCAGAAAAAAACAAATATTAAAAACCGCCCTGTACCACACCCGCGGCTGCGGCGGCGCCGCCCGCCGATTGAGGCGCGTCGCCTGCCTGCCTCCACGGAGGCGCCAGCGCCACTGCCTCCGACACGTCCGTCGTCGGAGAGGAGGTGCGGCCAGGCCGAGGCATAGGATCGAGGTCGGTTCGGGGAGGGTTCAGTCCGGGCGTCGACCTGAGGAACCCTGAATAAGGAACGAGGCCCCGTTTTTCCATAAATTGAACTTCGATTTCCCATGGAAAACAGAAGGAAAACCTGAGGCAAGCTGTCAAACAAATAAGGAACACGGAGCCCCTCCCCAACGAAAAGGGTTCCTGCTTCAGCGACCCGACTGTACCCTGATGTCCTTCGTCCTCGTCGGGTGTTCCTGCGCGTCCCGGGGGAGGGTGCCCCCGAATGCCCTTCTTTCCTGGCCGGCGGAGGGTTCCCTGATGTTCTTCGTCCTCGTCGGGTGTTCTTGCGCGTCCTGGGGGAGGGTGCCCCCGAATGCCCTGCTTTTCTGGACGGCGGAGGGCCGCGCGTTCTCGAAGGATGGATGCTCTTCTGCCCCAGGTCCGAGTGCAGTCAAGGGACCACCCCGACCCTGATAATCGGCGTTTGCTGAGCAGCCCCGGGAGTTTCCTGAGCCCTGCCTGTTTATTGCTTGCTCCGCGTGCAGGAAGACCCCGTGCCCCAGGTGATTAACCTAG